CTTGTGCTACAATCTGGCACAATCCAGCCAGTTGAATCTTTGTGTAAGCAACGACACTGGAAAACTATTACTGCTGCTGCTACTACTACTACTACTACTACTACTACTACTCCTACTACTACTGCTACTACAGGGTGGGAATGTGTGTAAAACCGTGTGCGCGCAAGAGCGCGCAAGGGCGAAGCGCAAGACGATTTTCGAGTTAGGGGCTGCAACCATGACAAAGAACAACCCCCATGTATACATGTATTTGGTGATATACGCGCCCTTGCATACATAGAGACACACATAGATACCTACATTGCTACAGACCAGATGTACATATACACATCTGCATGTGTGTGTGTGTATATATATATATATGAGCAGAGTCATACTTCAGGCATGTTCCGCCGATCTGATTAGACCAGCCAGAATCCCCTTACACAGTGTTCGCTGTTGGACACGGTGTTCTTCTACACAGGGTCTTCTATTGGACAGCGGTTCTTTTTGCACTACGTGCTCCTTTATGCAGGAGCTTCCGTTACAACATTCTTCTGTTAGACAATGCTCAGCCGGCTTGGCTGGGCTTGGTTGTGTTTGCTTATACAGGCGTATCAACTCTTAAACGTATTACAGCCGTATTTAAGCGTATATATATATATATATGTATATATAGACATACATACCTACATACATACATACATACATACATACATACATACATGCAAACAGTACACACATATGTGTGTGTCTGTATGCGTATATGTGTGTGTGTGTACATATGTCCATATTTACACAGATAGACAGAGAGACATGTATGCAGGCCTGTGCACGTGCAAAGACGTACACACACATAGAACCACTGCCACACAAACACACATACACAGTCACACAGAGACGTATCATCGTACCCACTATCGTACCCTCAGCATCAGAGCAGGCGTCATCATCATCCTTTCGACGGTTGCGCTGGCTGCCATCGCTCCTTTGCTATTCGTGTGTTCTCTAGACAGGAGGATCCAGGGCTTACGGCTTATAGGCTTTGCATTGCAGGGAATTGCCTCGAGCGTTGTGGGTTCGTAGACGGCTGCGAGGGCGTCACTGTTGAGGTGAGCGATGATTCCTCGTCATTATGGCTTATGGCTGTGTTGGTCGATGTTGTTTTGTCGTTGGAGTGCCTTCTTCTTGTTCGTCTGCTGCTGCGCTCGCAGCTGATTATTCGATCATGAAAGCGAAATTTCGAAGGTGACTAGCAAGCAGGCCTCCGAATAGGGCAGAGATAGGGAGCACAGAAGTAGGGCCAATGACATCATGTGGAAGCAATGATGGCAGTGTAAGGTCTGGTGGGTGCGCCGTCAATGTTTGAGAATCAGCAAGAGGAAGACACTGGAGAAGTTGGAACGCTACCCGGCACTTGGATCATTTGGTCTCCTGCTGCGTTGGCCCAGCACGTGTATCGCCAGGCCAGGGTAAACGAGATGCCAGCACAGGCAACGGTCGTGTCTCATCATATCAGCAGGTCGGCGGCCTGCATCCCGAGCGCATTTTGCCCGGAAGACACTGCAACCCAAGGCTACAATTTCAATCGTCGGTTTTTGCCCGGTGGAGATGCCTGGCTGCATTTCGTCCCAACTACCCCCAAAAGAGCAACCAGAACTAGTGGGGTCACTTGTTATGCTTCCAATACTGCATGTGCAGGTACAGGTGAAACCTGTCTCGCTGACGAACCAGCTATGCATCTTGAATATTTAGACCCTGCCTTCGATTGAGCTTTCGCTGTTTGCAGCTGTACGGGGTAAGTGCTTTGAAACGAAACCTATCAGATCTATTGTACGGAATACTGTCCAGCTTATAGTTACTGAAATATCATTGTACCAAACCATATGGGTGGTTGTCAAAATTATGGTCCCTTTTTGGGTCCTTATTATAATACGGCACCTATTATTTAGGGTACCCCAAAAGGTGCCCTAATTTTGACAACCACCCATATATCTTTGAGAACGGAGGATGGAGAGCTCCTCCGACCCCTGGCCGACTCCGACGACGACCTTTGGCTGGACGCAGCGCGTTTCGTGCTGCAGCAGGCATGGTCTGAACGCCACTCCTGCGGTTTTAGGGGGTTTGGGGCCTATAGGGTTCGTGTTCAAGGGTGGCTGAGTGGCCGGGTTCTAGAGAGCTATAGAGATCCAACTTTGTCACCCCTTTTCCTTGATGCGATGTAATTCGGTATCCATTGCTTAGACAAAACAAGCCTTAGACACCAATTGCAACTCACCAGACATTCGTCAATGTGATGTTTCCACGACCTGCTTCTGGCTGTGGTTTATGCTACGATGTAGATTCGCAGTCGTGTATCTCCCGTCGCGCAGGCGTGCATCATGCACATGTATGCTATCGAAACTGCACATGCTTGCATGCACGAAAATGTGTGGGTGCGTTGCAACAACCACGTTTTTATTAGTCTGCTGCCGTCAAGCCAGATCAAAGATAGCACCTCGACAGACAGTAGACAATCCTGACGCTGTGCCCCTGTGTTCTCAGCCATGACCTATTATGTCATGGTCTCCTCAGCCGACTGCTTGCACCTTTACGTGGAAGCAACCTCGAAGCTGCGCAGGTGCAGGCACAGACAAAGACCGCCCGCAAAGCTGCTAGGCAGAAGCTTGGTGGGTCTGCTTTCCCCGGGGCATGAGTTGCCGGATTTGGGCACGCTGTGCGTGGGGTGGTGTCCTCAAATATATATATATATATATATATATAATATAGAGAGAGAGAGAGAGAGAGAGAGAAAGAGAGAGAGAGAGAGACAGAGAGAGAGAGAGAGAGCTTTCTTTATAATTAGGAAGGACGGCATTTGATTTGTTCTTTGGTCCCATTCCAGATGTGCACGGGAGCCGGAATCCTTCTCGAGGCCTGGAAGCTGCGAAAGCTGCAGTCCTTGCTACGCAGCATCGACAGCGGGGCTTGCCGGCTCAGCTGGGGAAGATCCCTAAAGATTCTACAGCAGTCCTTGGCTATCGATTCGTTGGGTTTGTGGCAGGGGTGACTGTTCGACGGGTTCCTCGACGCATAAGCTCAGTTTGTCGTGAATCACCTAGGGATGCTGAGGTTCCAAGTCTTTCTGGAGCCTCGTTTCTGTTATCATGGAGCAGTGTAAGATCCTCGTAAGAGAGCACAGTATTGGTCAGACAGCCGGCTTCTTGTGGTACCTTCTCATCGCAGTTTGTGAACCCTGGCATGCCTCTGAATGACTTCTGGGCGAACGGGCAAGGCCTACACCTTGGCGCGTGCACACTTGGGTGGCTGGTGGTGGCCTCAAGTTTTGCTTGGCTGTCGTTCGGAGTTAAACCGTGCACTAAATCTCAATAGAAGAGAGTTTAGGGCCAGGGTTTAGGAGAGCTTCAACAGACCTCCAGTATTTCGTGCCAGGTCTTTGCCGTTCTACCACAGGTATCTGCACTACCAGATGCCCAAGCGCCTGGCCTCTTTGGTTGACGCCGCGAATGGTGCTAACCTGGACCAGGCTACGTTGACGAGTGGCTTTACCGCACTTCTTAGGTTGTGCTGAAATTATAGTTCCTTCTTCTTGTCAGAGGTGAAGTCTGAAGTATACTACGCATAGTGGCCGCAGCGACAGTGCCGAACCCGAGCGCGGAAGGCAAATTAAGGTCTGAGTGTTATTTCGTTGCGTGCGACCTTGAGCATGGCGGCAAGACAAGGTGTCTATCAGGTCCGGACCAGCGTCAGCCACGCCGTTCGGATCGCCAGCGTGCGCCAGCACGTGCAGAGACTGCTCTCAAATCGACACTTCGTGAATGCGGGTTTGGAGAAGAAGTCCTGGTGGATTTTGGAGTGTCCGGAAACGCCACCTTTGAGGCTCATACATTGGTCCAGGATTGCTGCTGCTGGACAGCTCCCGAAGTACGGCGCAGAAGCTGGCGCCACCTCTGTTGAGGAGCTCCTGGACGAAGTCGAGGAGATTGCCTTGCCTTCAACACTTTGTTTTAGGTTTTCGGTCGTTTGATGTCAACAAACCGCCGGAACTTCGGCAGCAGAAGGCCAAGCTTGCAAGCCAGGACCGACTGGGAGTCTTGCGCGACGCTGCGGAACGTCAGCTCGTCACTTGGGCCATAGACCCGAAACTCCATTCGAATGACGCTAGAGAATTCTGGAAGCCTCGGGGGTGTGGGGTGTTACATTCTTGCAGGGCAGGAGGAGTCCTTCAGCTCGCTCGGCGCAAGCGTGGCCCCGAAACAGGTAGACGGTGCAAAGAGAGCAAACTAGCATGGCTGACCATGGGCACCAAGGTTGTGTTCCTCTTGTCTCACCGCTGGCTGCGGACAGCTGGGTCACAGCGTGGCCACCCTGACTCTGCAGAGAACATCAAGGAGTGCTGAGGGTTCGCTTTGTGGCCGTTGTCCTCCGTGCCAAAGAGTCGAGGATCGAGGTGAGTTGACGCCCATGATTTCTTTGCAGGTTTGCTTTTCAATGGGTGCATGTTTGGGACGGTGTCAGGGCAATTGCACAGGGCAACATCGTGTCGGATAGACCCCCATACTGTAGTCCTTCTAGTTCGTAGAAGATACTGGTAAGAGGCGGAGGAGGAGGAGGAGGAGGAGGAGGAGGAGGGTACTGGCCATAGCAGCACCAGCAGTCGCATACTCGACAACCATCGAGCCTCCCTACAAAGGCCGCCCACTGCATTCTTGCCCGTAAGAGTCGTCAAGGCAAGCTCCATTCGCTTCCGGGTTCAGGGCTCTAGAGCACGGCGTCTCTTCTGCTGTTTGCAGATGTCTTGCTGGTCTGCAAAGGCTGCCTGCTACTATCCTAATACGTGGAGCAGGACTGACTAAAGATCGATCCTAATATGTGAAAGCCCATCCCTGCTCAAACGGAAGCCCCGGAATCCCAGTAGCCTGGGCCCGTTTCACTTGCAATCCAGGGAACCTCGAAATTTCAAGAACCCCGGAGGCCCGGAAGCTCGTGACCTTTGCGAAGTGGTTTATGCGGATGGCGGCTGCCGCGGGTGTACAGCGCCCTCGCTTCCGACTTCAATGCTTCAGAGGGCTGATTCCGCGAATAGCACCAAAACAACAAGACGACAACGAGCATGTACTCCACTTACTACTAGCTGCCTACGACTTACTACCGACTGCAAGTCATACCTCCGAGTCTCGCAGGTGCGAGGTCGCATTCTGGATTGATTATTGCTGCTGCGAGCAGGCCAGGATTTAGGATATTGGGGTAGTTTTCTAAATTAGGGTCCCTTTTGGGGTCCTTTTTATAAGGGTGCCGTACTATACTGGGGACCGAAAAAGGGGACCCTGTTTTAGAAAACTACCCATGTGCATCTTGGCATCGGAGAGCGGAGTGTTCTCGGAGGCGAGGAACTTTAGTGGAATCGTGTCGAAGTGCTCCCCTGCGTTCCCCCCAAACCTTCAATCCACCTTGTGAGTCAGAGACCTTGACCTCATCTGGCTTGCCCTTGCGCGTGAGAGCGTAAATCCACGGACCCACTCTTCGTTGACCCTAAACCCTAAACCCTAAAACCTAAAACCTAAAACCCTAAACCCTATTTCGACAGGACGACTTCTTCGGAGCCGACTTGGCCATGGCTGCGTTGCCATTGTATATTGCGGCTTGTACCAAGGCCCCTTGAAAATCCCATTTTTCTTGCTTTGGTTCGAAGGGGATGGGGATATTTTGGCTTGTCTGAATAAGAAGTTAGTGTATACTTCCCTTCCTGTCGATCTGTACATGGCACTTAACCTCAAACAATGAATCCCACACAGGTATACTATATATTATGGAATATTGTTGCATACTCTAAGATAGTCTACGATAATATAGTCTATATGAAAATGTTCCGTTTTCTTGTGGCATACTTTAAGATAGTCTATTATAATATAGTCTGTCTACATGAAAGTGTTCCGTTTCGAGCTGCAGGTGCTCGTGTGGCGGACCCCGGACTTCGACCGCCGTTGCTGGACCATGGTCGAGACTCGGAAAGCGCACCATGAACTGTCCAAGGCTGCATCAGTAGTGCAGGTCCGTCGCAAGGAAGCATGGGATCAATGATATCATGTTGCATGTATGTATATATTGATTGGGTTCTATCACGCCTGTGATAATGCACTGCTTCGAATGTGGCAACTGACATGCCATCGACCCGACTCAGGCCTCCTGACTCCTTGCGGTAGTTGCAGCCAGGTCAAGGTCAAGAGTCCAGCACAGAACAGCATAAGATGAGGCAGTTCCCGGAGGGTCTCCAGAGAGGGCCTGTGGAGGGTCAATCTAGCTCCCCTTTTCGAAATTTCCATTAATTTTGGGTGTTTGTAAGGAGCGGTTGTTGTCCTACTCCTTCTGCCCTGGCGGCCTCACTCCTTACGTCATCGACGATTCCCTGGCAGAGCTTCCAGAGCATGCAGACCTTTTTCCAGTTTCTTGGCGGGGTTTAGGATTTCCTTGTGCTGGAAGACGTATCTCCCATCTTGTACGAAAGCTGGTTAAAATCGCACCACCACCACGAACCCTTGCGGTGTGGGACGCGCAGTTTATCATCCGTCTACCGACTGAATCTCAGGATTCTGGGAAAGTTTAGGCAGAAGTCCTTCGGCCTGATCTAGGGATTCCTTGTCAACAGAAGCTGACACCCAAGTCTCCGGAGCCGGTGTAAGCCGACGCCCAGCTCAGAGACGGAAGTTGAAGCTTGGAATCCCACAATCTTAGGTGGAGGTACCCAGGGCGGCTCCGGAAGAGGAGATTTGGGAGGTCCGTGCCACTTGCCTTATCTGTACGCTTATCCTCGCTGAGACACGATGTACACAGGTGTATGGCTGCTTCGTTCAGCTCAGTCGACTTGAGTTTGAGAGGAAAGCACTTGCTTTTCTACTACTAGTCCTCCTCTCCCTGCCTCCTGCTCCTGCGACTGCCACTGCTGCCACTGCGACTCCCGCAGCTACTAGTGCTACGAGCAGTGCCATAACCACCACCACCACCACCACTACCAGTGCCAATCACACTGCCACTGCCACTACCACCACGTTCATCACCATGAGAAGCACGACAGACTGGTCCAGCAGAATATCTGTTGGAATAACACTGCGACTAAACTACCCCTGTCCAGTCGAACAGTGTTGTGTCACTACTACCAGTGGTAGTCGCCTCAGCTGTGAGAATAACATTGCTCTTGGCAACAAGAAGAATAGTTCCTGAACCGCAAACCCTCCCCTCGACCCTAAACCCCAAGCCAGTGATTCACGGACATGCGCTTCGGTGACTCTTTGTGCTCACTTAGCTCTGATTCTTGGAACTTATCACGCTGGTCGCTGGCTTCTTGGGTGTCTGGCTGTCCGAGCTCGACTGCCGGTGTGAAGTAGTGCTGACGTGTGAGTGTGGCTGTAGTGGACTGATGGCCGTGGGGCTTTTGCTAGTGGAAGGGTTTTGGGGCAAGCGAACACCGTTGCTCATTGCTCCCTTTAATTTGGCCAATGTGCTGTCGGCTATCCGACGTACCAGACGGACTGCGCCAGGCTTGTTCCCAGTTGTGAGTGCTGAACCCTAAACCCTTAACCCAAAAGCCTAAACCATAACCCCCATAAACTTTAAAGCCTAAACCCCTGAACCCTAAAGCCTAAACCATAACCCCCACAAACTTTAAAGCCTAAACCTCTAAACCCAAAAGCCCAAACCATAACCCCTATAAACCATAAAGCCTAAACCGCAAAGCATCGTAGACCCCTCAGGCAGAGGATGGCAACTGGCAGCCCTTTGAGGATTCGGCCCAGGCGCATGTTGGGACTCTAGGGATGTATGGGAGTTTAGGGTTTAGGGTTTAGGGATGTATGGGAGTTTCCAAAAATACGGGGTACCTTATTTTGGGGTCCTTATAATAGGGATCCTACTATTTAGGGTACTAGATTAAGGTCCCCTATTTTCGGAAACCCCCATGTATAGGACGAGGGAGGGAACACTAGAAGGCCTTGGATTGAGGGCTTTGGGGTTTAGGGGTTTACAGTAGTGTTTTGCAGTCGAGTCCCTTGTGAAAAAGTGCTTTGATGTTTCGGAGCAGAGGCTCTTGCAGGCTGGATAAAACAAAAAGTGTTTTGATGTTTACAGTAGCTTAGGGTTTTAGCCGTTCGAGTTTGGACCGTCAGCACATGTCTGGCTTCGCCCACTCCGAACGACCCACCATACCATCGAAATCCGACGCCGAATTCCTCAACCAGCCCTCCTTCGACGCCGGGCTACGGCGGCTTCTGACTAATGTTGCTTGATGCGATGCGATTTCGAATTCTGCAAGTACTTGTTGCCTGCTCTTTTACAGGAGATTCTGCGAGCAGCGCAGCTGGCAGGACTACCTCACACTCAGGTGGATCTTTGAGACCCTTCCATGTCAAAGCCTTCTGATTTGCCGTGCAGGGCTTCAGACATTCCCACGCAGGGTTTGGTCCAGACTCGGGTTCAGCACTTTCTTAGATAGCCAGTAGGAGAACTTTAAACTTTTTGGCCTTATCTATTAGGTCTATCCGACCTAAAAAGTTTGAACTTTTTTGGGCCTGGTTGTTGCACAAGAGAGCTTTGGCCATGCGACCTAGGATAAACTTCCTTCGCCTTCCTCACAGGTGACAGGCTTGTGAAACCTTCCCTACGTGCCGAAAGCCTTGCACCTCGCGGGCTGCGTCTAGAGTTTAAGATGTCCTGACGTAAACCACGGTTTAGGGTTGAGGGTTTTTGGTTCCTAAACCCAAAGATGCGCGGAGGTGAAAAGTGGCGGCCGGCAATACGAGATCGATTTCAAACGTTTGTGCCAACGCAATCTGGCCGCTGAGCCGCCTTCAGCTAAGCAGGCTCCCCTATAAAAGGGCCATGAAGTAAGGGCCCAAATAGGATGGGTTTTTCAAGGTCCTAAACCCTAAACCCTAAACCCTAAACCGTAACCCTAAACCCTAAACCCTAAAACCCTGCAGTGCGGGCTTGTCCTTGCTAAGTAGGAGGCAAAAAAACCCTAAAACCATTCTAAAGCCCTTCTAGTTGGGCACTTGGGCCCTCAGGGTTCTCTGTGGTGATACTGTTTTCCTCGGGTGCCCTCCCAAAAAAATCTTGGTGGCAGTAGCCGAACAAAAGATGAATGGTAGCAGTCTGTAACAGAAAGGGTCTGTGTAATTTTATTCTTTGTAATTTTATTCGGAGATTTCAAGAGCCGTATCCATGATAGCAATCGAAATCGTGACAGGTTTAAACCGCGACTGTACTACTCCCGACAAGAATCCAGGCAGCCCGATATAATTCGGGAGCTCTGGTTCCAAAAAGACTTTTCATTGGGGCTCACACACCAATGATTATGAATTCCTAGTCGGGCAATCTGGGTAGAATCTAACCCCTATAAGCAGTTGTGCTTGTTCGTATTTGTGTGCGTCGTCGTCGTCATCATCCTAGGGTTTACACTTGTTCCAGTTGCACATGTCATGGCCGTCGTCGCAACAAAGGAGCCGCGACGGCGTAGCGATGGTGGGTGGTGGTAGTGGTAGTACATGTGGTGGTCAAGCCCTACCTATAACCTAAACAACCGGAAACCGAAACGTGCAAAATGCTAGGAAGGCTCAAGACCAAGCCGCCTCCGAGGCCACGGGGACCCGCCGAGAAATCCGGCTTCGAGCGGCAGCGGTAGTTAGCATCGGCGGAGAGGCCGCTGGACTCTGGACCGGCCCAGAGAACTCACTTAAGCCTATCACGGCGCTTGACTTCTCTGGCGCTCATGGTAGCATTTCTCTTGCGTTTGGTGCCGTGCGTTGTTATGATCATGAGTGCCTTTCGCCTGAGCCTCGACGCCTAACCGACGCTTGAGAACAACGCCCGGAGGCGCATGGCGCGGCCATGGAGCGCGCTGCACAAGCCGCAAAGCTGCGCAACTGAGATGCACGAAGGTGCTGTGGTTGTTATTTTTTCTTGATCAGCAGGGCTTCGAAGCTTCTCACCCCGTGCTTGAGCACCGGCAGGGTTACGCCGTTCAGAAAACTGTTGTGCCGGAAGGACGGCCGAAAATCTCAGGCCCCACAGCTGGGAATTTGCTGCATCAGGTCCCGTCCGGAGACTCATCAGAAAAAATATGGGGATCTCAAATCGAAGATGGAGGTTGAGGACCACTTGAGGATGTTGTACAGACGAGTGCTCTGGCCATGACGATTCGACTCTGAAACCCAAGATGGCACAACAGCGGCAGCAACAGCAGTCAAGATGAGAAGGCGCCACCCAAAACTGGCTTATGTGCAACTCCGCACAGTTGGCCGAGTCGAGAACTCCGTCCAAGCCAAGCATATATATATATATATGTATATATATATATATATATGAGGGTTGTTCTAAACCCCCGGCTCTTGACCGTAGACTAGCAGCGCACTTTAATATTTGGATTCAGGTTTAGGACATGCTCTAAA